AAATCTTATATATAAGATATATCATTAAGGCACTTAAATTGCCGTAGAATGTAGAACAAGTACGGTAGTTGGAAGAATATTTAGAGACTTGGACAAGTTTGAATAACTGTTCAATAAGTTGTTTCTGAGACTTTCCAAAAGATCTTACTTTTTGGACAACGAAAGCAAGCAATTTGTGTTGACGAGTTGCAATATTTTATTTGGATCAATTTTTTCGATCAATATTATTTGAAAGGGTAGGAAGTGAGGGAACCTTTGGCTCAGGATCTTGATTATTTCTAATGTTAAACAGTTCAAATTTGTTTCACCTATCCGATACGCCATAGGCACAAAAAAGAGAATTTCTAGTTTTTGAACAAGATCCCATATAAAAAGATTCATGGTTGACGTCACATATTTATGTAAAGTTTAAAGTTAAATAACTCACCGTCGGATGAAAATTCTTGGACTCATTATTTTCTCATCAAAAATCTCCGATTCCAACTTGTTGTCCAACAATTGTCCTTCTTTAAATTTAAGTAGGTTTCACATCAACCATTTTATTTTCAAAAAACCAAACAGAGAAATTGTATACAGTCGACTGGCTTTCAAGCATCTTCCAATAGGCCACTTCTGTAGCGGAGTGTGCTGTAGAGAAGAATGAAGTATAGAAGATCATAGCACCTCTACTTAAAACCCCTAGAACACTGAAATAGATTGTTCAGTGGTGCGTATGGTATCTTAACTATTTTAATCAGTTGTGTAACCTTGAAATCTATTTTTATACAATTTCAACAGTTTTTGATGAAAATACTGCTCTCGTAAAACTGGTTATACTTCCAAACCTTTATAATTGCATTCTCCGCTTATATGCTATTTTTGCAAGTCGAAACTGGTTGCATTACTAACGCTCACGCAAACAAAAAGCTTTTATCCTATTAGAGTAGAAAACAAACCATCTTTAAGGAGCTGTACTACTGCAATGCTTGCAGATTGCATCTAAACATCGCTATTGCATGCTTCAAATCAAGCCCTAAGCTTCCCCGATCGCTCGTAATTCCGCATTGCGCAGTCATTCATGGAAGTATAGCCGATAAACCGGCTTCTTCACACTTTCTCATAGTTGACTACGTTTATCGCCGTTTTTCGATAATCCTTAAGGCATTGACGAATTCTTATCGATCGACATCCACTGTTTTGATGAGGGTTTGTCGGCTAAACTGGATATGGTCTGGATTTGCTTCTGCTAACCACAGCAAAGCGAAGAAACGCTCTGCTGGCCGCTAGAGAAATGGCGAAAATATGCTTACGTTGTCGCCTATGAGTTTTGCGCAATCCATAAAGAAGAAAGGTTTTTTTGAGCAAATTTTTAAAATTTCAGTAAGCTCAAAGCTCTCTTTCCTGAATTTGAGCAATTTTCCATGCGTTTCAATCGTATTATCGTTTTGATGGTAATTAACTCCTCATTACAATTTTCTGTTTCCTTCCTTTTCCATAAACAGATGT